CGAAATTAAAGTGTCAACATAAATGTATACTTTCCTAAAAAAAAAAAAAACCCTGGTCAAGACCAGATTCCTGATCGTTCTCGTTTCCGGCGGACGATGGCGGCCACATCTTGTTTAAGCGTAGAGACGCTCTGTTCCAGCTGCTCCGAGAAGTCTCTCAGCAAATGACTCTGCTCATCCACAAACAGTCTGAGCCCCAGCAGGTCTGACTCCTCCTGGAAAGCACGCACATTAACATCCTGCATGATGTGCAAACAGGAGTGTTATATCCATGGGCAGGATTCAATCTGTTCAAATGCAATTTATCAAACAGTTTGGTAAATTGCTATAACATCAGCTCCCGTTCTCGGAACCATATTCATTAGTCAATAATCAATAATTCTTTTGGCCTTAAACAGTTTTCACAACAATAACACTTGCAGATCCTTCACAGTGCTTCAGTTATCATGCATCTATTGGAGGCATAAGCTAAATAACTACAGCGCAGATGTAATTTTCTAAACGCAGCAGCTCAAAATTGTTCACTCTTGGAGCTAATAATGTGATAAAACAGCAGCATGGAAACAGGTCAATATTTCATTCTGTGCTGATTCACTATTTTAAGGATTTTAAGCATGTCCACATTGTAGTAACACTAACTCATGCTAAGACAGAAGATAACACGTGAATACGTACGCTGGGCCTGTGTCTGCGCAGGCGCTGCAGCTGACCTCTTACTGAAGTCATGCTGTGATAGAAAACCTTCAGAGCGCGGGCAAACTCTGCATCACAGCTGGGACGCACCGAGCGACTACGCGCACCCTCGCCACCTAAAACCAGAAAGAAACGTGTGTGTGTGTGTGTGTTTCTGAAAGAGCAAGTCAAAAGCTTCCAAAGTGATATGTGTGGTAGTTTTTTCAGTTCTTTGGAATAGAAACCACAAACTCGTGTATGTTTTAGTTACCATTTCTGGCTGTGTTGAGTTGTTCCCTCAGACTGTGATTCTCTTTCCTCAGTGATTCATTAACACTCTTTAGTTCATCTAAGTCCTGCTGAAGAGCTCTTACTGAACAACTGAGGTCTGAGGGGTCTACAGCCTGTGATAAAACACACACACACTGAATAAATGAGACAATAAATAACTCATGTCAACGTAAACAAGTACTCCTAAACGTCTAACTCACTGTGTTTTCTGTTGGACTCGACTCATCAATGATGAAGATGCCATCTGCAGTCATCCGCACACCTTCCAGTGAAGACTTCAACTGAGTGCAGCCCTCTGGGATAGAAAACAAGCACTGAGCAGCAATTTTTAAAGAAACTTTCTATTTCAACTGTGGCTTTTCTTAAATCTGCATGAGAAATTTAATAATGTGATGTATAATGTACACACGATGAAATTAAAATCCAGTTTAAATGTTTAAATCCCACTCGGTTCATTAAAAAAAATTAAGCATGTCTTGTTGTTATAATAGCTATCACTGAGTTCACTTACTTCAGGCATAAATAAAAAAAAATGTTCATCCTCACCTTGAAGGCCCCAGAGCTCCAGCACCACAGCGCTGCTCTGCAGGAAGTCTAGCAGACGCTGGGAAGTGTGGAGGGAGGCAAAGTGGACTCTGTGATCCAGCAGAGGATTCACGTTGTGCCAAACAGCTGGAGTGTACAGAGGCTGGCTGCAGTCAAATAACCTGAAACTAACAGAGTAAGGAGATTAAGTAATGTCGGAGAGAAGAAAGTATTTCACCACTCTCTTCTTTTAGAAGACGACATGACTGGAGACTTCACACTTGAGTCCACGGTAGCTTTTCAAAAGCTAAAATTATTAACAGCTTCCTCTATGTGCCAATAAATATATACCAGGTTTCCATCTCCAAGTTCAATAGGATTTAATGCAGTGTGCTCTACACCGAGCCACATGTGCCTTACCCAATTTGAACACCTCGATTGCGGGCCTCTCTGATCCAGCGTAAGCCACAACACTGATCCAGGACCAGCTGGAAGTCTAGTCGTCTACCCAGTATCTCT